TTTAATGTATGTATAGATACAGATATATAGATGTAGACATGGAAATGGATATATTTTAAATTTAATATTTAAATAAAATACTTAGTGTTTAGGAATAGCAAAAAGTACAAAAGAATTATATAAACAGAATTCTGATATAGCCACCATTTAGCCCATGAAGTGAAATTTTTTAAATAAACTTAAAATTGCAAATCAACTTTTCTCTCCCAGGTGGTACCTATTATATTGGATACTTTATATTTGTATGACAGTTTTTAGAATCTTGTAAATAATTCTATATGTGAAATTACCTCATTACCCCCTCCCCTGTGTGTGTGTGTGTGTGTGTGTGTGTGTGTGGTGTGAACTCAGGGCCTCATTCATGTTGGGTAAGTACTTTACCAATGAGCTGAACCACTGCCCTCAGCCTCCTTTTAAAAAAGGCTTTTTATGTTACAGCTTTCTCTAGAGTGTGTAAATCTGCTGTGTCTAGAGTAGACAAGTAACTAACTTTTCCGGATAAAGTCAAACTCTTCAAGTGGTTATCAAAAATGAAGATCTCCAATCAGCAAGGGACTGGGATTCCTATCCTTGCTAACAATTAATATTATCAGATTATAAATTTGGCTAATCCAAATAGTCTTTTATATAGCATCATTTTAACTAAAAAAACCTAAAAGCTTTGATTTTATATGTTTAAAAAATATTTGTGGTTAGTTTAAGGAACAAAATATATATATCAAGGTTTATCTGAGAACATTTGGTTTTTTTTAATCCAAGCTTTATCTACATAGCACATGGTAATTAAAAGTACCAGACTGGTGGAACTAACCTTATTGGATCTTTAACAATCATACTTTGAGGCCTATACTAATGTGGTCAGAGGGATTTAAAGGACAGTTTTTGCCCCTTGCCCTCCAAGGTCAACTCAGTCCCAGGGGACTATGGAACATCTCTCAAAATGTCCTGTAACTGTGGTGGGTCACCTGTCCTCTTGTTCAGGGGGGCCATGGAGATCCCACAAGTTGGACTTGAACCAGGGTCCAGTCTACAATGAGGAGGGTCAACTCAGAGGAAGCATTTCCTTCATGCTTCCAAGTGAAGACAGCCACTGTTGAGCAAGACCTTTGACTTATCTTCACATAGATGGAACTGGTAAAAGAAAGGAGCCAGGGGCTCCTCCCAAGCCCATGTGACCCTTGAGGAACAGATCCTCAAACGAC